AAAAAAAAAAAAAAAAAAAAAAAAAAAAAAGATTACTTTCAGATCCGAGTCTAAAGTAGCAAGCTGATCATTCAGAGCCCATTTCTTTGCAAACCAAATCGGCCCTTTTCTCTTTCGATCAACCAGTATTGTATAACGCATCCGTTTTCGAACCTGGGCCTATAACTGGCCTTTTTATGGGAGCTCGCTTATGAAGAGTGCATTGTTTTGCAATTGCCAGATCTCCGTCATGACAATGCCTCTGCATGTTTGTCCCACATAACCCCAGCCTGAATCATAATTTTGCACGTTGGGGCTTATCCCAATTTCTATCCAATCATTTGTCCAAGGAAAAGCAACGGCTGAAAATATTATCCAGTGTGACCCCCACCACTGCCAGATTTTGAGTAAGAAGGGGCAGTGCGTCCACATATGTGAAGTTGTTTCCCAGCCCAAGAGCAACTTGAGCAGACTCGTGAGGCTTCCATTTGTTTGGACTGCAACCATTCCGCCGATGGCACAACACAGAGAGACTGCATCCACAGCAAACTAGCTACTTTATGCTTGGGCATTTTTTTAACAGTTTTCAGGTTGAGCCTTAGAGCAAAGCTGCCAAGAGTAAGCAACATCCACTCCAACCTCGTAAAACTCACATTAGCAATCCCAATGGATTGGTTGAGCATGCTCAGGTGCCACCTCTTACAGACCAGCAACACTTGGTTTGAAAGACCAAAAGATTGACGGCTATGTTCGGAGAGCCATAGGGCCAGACCTGCCCTCTCGGTTCAGGATACAAAAATGGATTTTCAAGTTTCAACAGAACAACAACACAGAATCAACAACTTTGTTTCACCTAAGAAAAAACAAAACCAATTAAAAAAAAAAAAAAAAAACAGGAAAGGAATTGTGCACATTGGGCAGATAAGCACATGCCTATGTTATGGACCCCTTTCTCACAGGATGGCGAGACTGTGAACACGGTGGTGCCTTCGTACCACTTACACTCTACAAGCCACGCCTAGGAGTAATGGTTCAAAGTGAGCCGATACCAAGAAAGCCAGTGTCAGTTGTTGTAGAAAGATGGCAAGGTAAGTCATCACAACCCATAACTGAAGCGGAGCCAAAGCTTCCCCTTGACAAATGTGTCTCCTGCTGAGAAAGGTGTGTAATCTTCCTGCAGGATCAGGGGGTTGTCAAATAGAGGTTAAACCAGCAGT